CAAAATATTATTTTCTCAAATAATGGTCTTAGATTTTTTTTTTTTTTTGGTTAGATTCAATACTTTTGAAAGAAAGGTGTTGTAAGATTTGTGGTTATCCACTTGGTTATACCAGCAAGAAGAAGTCTTACTCACCTATTCTTGTTTTTGCCACGAAGCTACTTCATCAGTTGTTATTCCAAGTACAAACATGACCTCAATGCAGAACATGGATTATACTTTGATCAAGGAGTCATATCATTTAGCAGCAAATATAACTAAGACACAGATTCAAGAGGTCATTTCATTCTTAAGCTCAAATTTTATTCCTCTAGTATCTCACCATCCATTTATATTGTTCAAGCTTCAGCTTCTACTTTTAAATTTATGTTATAATAAGTCGTTATCCCTACCCAAAAAAATGATATTTTACATTTAGGATTGCTTACAAGAACAACGAGCAATCTTAATTGCAACTATAACTTGAGATGAATAATATAGATAGATAAAACCAAAATTCAATGGAAATCCTTAATTACCAGAAACATATATGCTAATCGATATTTTGTTAGAGGGATTTTTTGATATAAGATTGGAATCCACCAATCAAAGTGATCACAAGATAGTCGAGAGTTTACAAGCTTGATGGATCGAAGAGTGCCACTCAAAGGTATGGAGAGTCTTTGAGATAAACCCACAAACCTTAGCCTTTGTGAATCCACACAAGTGACTGAGATTCAAACGTTTTCTATCCTTAAGGAATCCACCTAAAGACTAGAGAAACAATAGAGACAAAGCAAAAGAGCTTTAAAAGTATAAACTTGATTTTTGATTGATAAAAATGTCTCCTCAAATGATACAACGAGTTGATCTTATATATTGCTCGTTCCTAGACAATAACAAACGGTCATAAACAAAATAAAGAAGCTAATTACTCTCAAATAAGTCAAAGACATAAAGGAAAATGATCATGATCGAATTATAACCGTTAGAGGAGATTGCTTGGCCAAATAAGGAAAGTTGCTTGGTATCTCTTTATATCTCGAAATCCTCTTGATATATCCATGTGATGGGAGCCTCTGATTCATGTACAGTATCTCCAAGCATTTTAATTAGAATATATCCAAGGGAAAGAGCTGTTGGACCTTAAATGCTCTCCTCATCGCCATATAAGGAAAGTGTTGTTGTCTGAGTGGAAAGGATTGAATCAAACTGATCCAGTGGCTGAGAATGAAGCTCGAAGTGTTCTTAGGAGTCTCTAATGGTAGTGTATATCCTCCTGGACGCCAAACATAAGATTGAACTTTCCCAAAATCAGAAGGTTCCAAATAAGGCAAGGAGAGGATCCTACGGTTTAGAAATTGAATAACTTCCAAACCAAAACCGGTATTGACCTCATTCAAAATCTCCATCTTCCTCTGATGAGTCAATAATCCATAACATATCCTTTCATAGCTTGATTCTTCTTGCTTTAGCCGGAATGCTCCAATGAATGCATGTTGGTACGAAACGGGTAAGTTGTATTTTACCCGATTTGTAAAATCATAACTTCTTCTTTTTTGAACTCATATTAGGATGAATCCAACTCGAGGTGATCATCCGATGAGTTAAGTTTCTGAAACAAGTTGATTTGTCGCTTAACTCTTCCTGGTTCGTCTTATAGAATCCTTTGAAGGAACCTATGTCCTTGCTGGCTTCTAGTCGGTTTGAGATCTCACCTTGTTGGATCTCTGGTTCAGCTACTGGTCTAATGACCTCATCATTCTTGCTATCATTAATATCTAATTACCAAGTCCAACATAGCAAAAATTATGAAGTTTTTATGCATAGAAGAGGTCAGTAACGTATGTCAATTGAGGAAACGAAAATAATCATATCTTGGTGTAAACAAAACTCATATAACAAAGCTATTATACCCAACGAGCAAAAAAGGCTTGAAGATGAACTTGGATTGATAGATCGATGATGGGAATAATGTTGGTGTAAAATTGTGAAATTCAATGGGACAAATCCAAATTTGAACTGATTTCGTACAAAGAAAAAAAGACAGAAAAACATCAAATGTGAAAAGTATTATTTTTGAGAAAGTTAACACTGATCAACCAGAGAATAGTGTTTGTCTCTCTAAGCCCCTCAATTACTGCAATGAAGCATCTATAGTATTGACCTATGTCTTAATCATCACAACTCATAATCTTTATCATCATTTTCCTCTTCAACCTCTGTGTTTTCCATACAGTCAAATCACTTATGAATGTCCCGATTAACTAAACCAGTAGAAGGTGCCAACACACCATCCATGGCTAGGATAACATCCCTAGTAGCAGTTGAAGCGGGTGTAATATAAGCAGAGAAGTTTTTGGCAAACGCCTTTAAAGTTGTCTTCGTAAAGAAATTCAGGAAACTACAAATTCTCCACCCAACTCTGTAAAACCACCCCCAAATTTCCGCCAACAAGTGTTAAAATTGACGATCATAATGTCAACACATCTAATTGTGACTCGGATCTGATTTTTTAACATTCTCTGCAAGCTCTGCAAGAGAAATAATGTCTCATAAATGATTGATACATTATGGCACTAACTGGTAACAAAGGAATTATTGAATTCAACAAAACATTGGCTAGAAAAAAAGATGGTTACCAGTTAACATAATTTGTGGAATTGAGGAGAATTCACTTTTTGGTGGAGTTCTCTATTTTTTAAAAAAACTTTTTCTTTACCACAGCTTATATGCATTGAAAACTTCAATATTTTAGACAAAAATTTAATTTTTTCTTTTCAATTATTCATAATTTTTTAACTTATATTTTTTAATTTATATAAAAAGTATTCTAGATAAAATCTTTTGAACTTTTTTACGATGATAATTCAAAATAGTTTTATCAAAATATATAAAAGTTTATAATTATAAAACCAAGTAAATATGTAGTTTGTTTCGTGTTCCATACTTAACATACCTCAAATAGATATTTTACTTAACAATTATGGATGAATTACAAGAAAACATGACTTATTTGTTTAGAACGGTAAACTATACTAGATGAACAATTCATTTT